TGGACTCTGGATCAGATGGCCTGGCACATCAGTCCCACAGAAGTATAAGGCTCTAGTAGATACCGGTGCACAGTGTACCCTGATGCCATCAAGCTGTCAAGGGGTGGAACCCATCTATATTTCTGGAGTAACAGGAGGATCCCAAGAGTTGACTGTGCTGGAGGCTGAAATCAGCCTGACTGGGAGGGAATGGCAAAAGCACCCTATTGTGACTGGTCCAGAGGCTCCATGCATTCTCGGCATAGACTACCTCAAGAGAGGGTACTTCAAAGACCCAAAAGGGTACCGGTGGGCTTTTGGTATTGCTGCTTTGGAGACTGAGGAAATTGAGCAGCTGTCCACCTTGCCTGGTCTCTCAGAAGATCCCTCTGCTGTGGGGTTGCTGAAAGTTGAAGAACAACAAGTGCCAATTGCGACCACAACAGTGCACCGGCGGCAATATCGCACCAACCGAGATTCCCTGATTCCCATCCATCAGCTGATCCGTAGACTGGAGAGTCAGGGGGTGATCAGCAGGACCCGCTCACCCTTCAATAGCCCCATATGGCCAGTGCGAAAGTCTAATGGAGAATGGAGACTAACAGTAGACTATCGTGGCCTGAATGAAGTCACACCACCATTGAGTGCTGCCGTACCGGACATGCTAGAACTTCAGTATGAACTAGAGTCAAAGGCAGCCAAGTGGTATGCCACGATTGATATTGCCAATGCATTTTTCTCCATTCCTTTGGCAGCAGAGTGCAGGCCACAGTTTGCTTTTACTTGGAGGGGTGTCCAGTTCACTTGGAACCGACTGCCCCAGGGGTGGAAACACAGCCCTACCATTTGCCATGGACTGATCCAGACTGCACTGGAACACGGGCAAGCTCCAGAACACCTGCAATACATTGATGACATTATTGTGTGGGGCGATACAGCGGAAAAAGTCTTTGAGAAAGGGAGGAAAATAATCCAAATCCTGCTGAAAGCCGGTTTTGCCATAAAACGGAGTAAGGTCAAGGGACCTGCACAGGAGATTCAATTTTTGGGAATAAAATGGCAAGATGGACGTAGACAGATCCCCACAGATGTGATCAACAAGATAACAGCAATGTCTCCACCAACTAATAAGAAAGAAACGCAAGCTTTCTTGGGTGCAGTGGGGTTCTGGAGAATGCACATCCCAAATTACAGTTCGATTGTAAGCCCTCTCTATCATGTGACCCGGAAGAAGAATGATTTTAAATGGGGCCCTGAGCAGCAACAAGCCTTTGAGCAAATTAAACGTACTGATGGCTCTTGCCGTATTGTGGGAAAGCATCGGAGATGGAAGGCAGCTGTATGGAGTCCTGGACGACAAGTTGCAGAAACTGCTGAAGGAGAGGGTGAATCGAGTCAATTTGCCGAGGTGAAAGCCATCCAGCTGGCCCTGGACATTGCTGAACGAGAAAAGTGGCCAGTACTTTATCTCTATACTGACTCATGGATGGTGGCAAATGCCCTGTGGGGGTGGTTGAAGCAATGGAAGCAGAGCAACTGGCAACGCAGAGGTAAACCCATCTGGGCTGCTGCACTGTGGAAAGATATTGCTGCCAGGGTGCAGAACCTGGTGGTGAAGGTACGTCATGTAGATGCCCATGTACCCAAGAGTCGGGCCACTGAGGAACACCAGAACAACCAACAAGTGGATAAAGCGGCTAAGATTGAAGTGGCTCAGATGGACTTAGATTGGCAACATAAAGGTGAATTATTTTTGGCCCGGTGGGCCCATGACACTTTAGGCCATCAGGGCAGAGATGCAACATACAGATGGGCCCGTGACCGAGGGGTGGACTTAACAATGGACACTATTGCCCAGGTTATTCATGAGTGTGAAACATGTGCTGCAATTAAACAAGCCAAGCGGTTAAAGCCTCTTTGGTATGGAGGACGATGGTTGAAGTATAAATATGGGGAGGCCTGGCAGATTGACTATATCACACTGCCACCAACCCGCCAAGCAAGCGCCATGTGCTTACCATGGTGGAAGCAACCACCGGGTGGCTGGAAACATACGCTGTGCCCCATGCCACTGCCCGGGCCTTGAGAAACAGATTTTGTGGTGGCACGGCACCCCAGAGAGAAGTGAGTCAGACAATGGGACTCATTTCCGGAATAACCTTATAGATATTTGGGCCAAAGAGCATGGCATTGAGTGGGTATATCACATCCCATACCATGCACCAGCCTCTGGGAAAATCGAACGCTACAATGGGCTGTTAAAAACTACACTGAGAGCAATGGGTGGGGGAGCTTTCAAGCATTGGGATACACATTTACCAAAGGCCACCTGGTTGGTCAACACCAGAGGATCTGCCAACAGGGCCGGCCCAGCCCAGTCAGAACTTTTACATATTGTAGAGGGGGACAAAGTTCCCGTGGTGCATATGAAGAATTTGCTGGGGAAGACAGTCTGGGTTATTCCTGCTTCAGGTAAAGGCAAACCCACTCGTGGGATTGCTTTTGCTCAGGGACCTGGATATACTTGGTGGGTAATGCGGGAAGATGGGGAAGTCCGATGTATACCTCAAGGGGATTTGATTTTAGGGGAAAACAGCCAGTGAACTCAATTGTATGCTGTTGCCTGCTGTGTAATGCTTTTATAGCCCATCAACTAGATGTCTCCAGGTCACCAGCGACTGGCCCTGACTTCCCTCCAGCCATCATCCCAACAGAGAATGAACTTTGAACATCATGGACCGAATGGACTCGGCAGCATTATAGGGATTGGTCCATGCACTAAGAAAATGATCTTTTCCTCTTGGTCTGTATGTATATGGATGTATATATGTGGGAGAGCGATGGTGTATTGAAAATGTGGGATCTGAGCACGACGTGAATGGTATGGAATAAGGGGTGGATAATGTCCTGGGTTCAGCAGTAGCAGTCATGTTTTTCCTTTGTGTTAACTGGTGCAGTGCTGTGTTTTGACTTCTAGCTTGAGAACAGTGTTGGTGAAGCCGATGTTTTCGGTTGTTGCTAAGTGATGTTTACCCTGACCAAGGACTTTGTGAGGCTCATGCTCTGCCAGGGAGGAGGGGAAGCTGGGAGGAAGCAGAGATGGGTCGCCTGACTCAGGCTAGCCAGGGAGGTATTCCATACCACAGCACGTCATGCCCGGGGTGGGGGGTGACTGGGAGTTACCCGGAAGGACAGGGGCTTCCGGGTGGAACTCGTCTTCTTGGCCGGTGGTATCGTATTCTCTTCCCTTGTTATTTTCCCTTATCATTGTTTTAGCTGATAGTAGCGGTGGTGCTTTGTTGCTGGACTGTTCTTGTCTCAACCCGTAGGAGTTGCACTCTCTCGATCCTCCTCCCCGTTCCTCCGGGAGCGGGGAAGGGGAGAGCCCCGGTGCGGGGGGGGGGGGACGGGGGACGAGACGGACACGGACCTCGATTGTTGTCAGCTCAGCACCACTCACTGGGAGTGAGTGAACAAGTTACCTGACTGGGTTTAAACCACGACAGTGGTATAAAAACACTTTCTTTAAGCAGCAGACTCTAAATCCATGCTGTCAACATACTTCTGCCCAAGAAGAAAAAGATCTCATTATGGCACTTGGTAGTTACAGCTAAGGGAGAAAATGTCAAGTTCAACTTTCTTGCTTAAAGGCCCACAGCATTTAAGCAGATGGTATTTTGTTATATAGAACCTTACCTAATGCTTATGTTGTGCAAATAACGCATCAAAACAGCCTGATGTGGGAACAGAGCCACATTTTAGAGGTAACTTCAGTGACTCTTAGAACAATTTTTTCCCACTGCTGCAATATAATGAGACAAAATTTAATTTATTCATCTTAAAAAAATAAAAGCCCTACTGGTTGACGGAAACCAATTTCACAGTGCTTAAACACTTCTGCACTTGGAATTTTCAAAAGTAAACAGGAAACTACCTGTTTGCAGTGAACAGGCGTTCCATTAATAATGAGTATTTTTGTCCATGTATCTTACATTCATATAAAGAGGGTCAAGAATTTTTATATACCCCATGTGCTTTCAAATGAATGTTAGAATGAGCAATGGTTATTCTTGCAAGTTTAAATTCTTGCTTCTCAACTTGCATGCATTATAGGGTGTACAAATACATGGGTTAATTGTTGTATTTCCAAACTAGCTTCTGACAAAAGGGGCAAACTTTCCAGTATAAATCAGGAAGCAATGCACAGGAATGCATCTTTAACTGCTTTTTTCTGGATGTGAAAACCAGCCAAAACCTGCACAGACAAAAATCACCTCCTCGCTGTCAAAAGCTATTTTAAAAACAATTTGAAAGTATGACTCCACTAGGTAGCACCATGGAATGTATGTCATTCCTAATTAAGTCTCTCAATTTTTCACATCCTTTTAGCAAGACAAGAGGTAGTATTTCCTATTCAAAATATGTTCTGTAATCGTATGGTACTTAGTACTAGATACTATTATGAAATATTGGACTAAATCAAAACCCCAGGTCAGAACAATCCTGACCTGGTTTTGCCATGCAACTCCAGACCTGTATAAAAGCTTTGTGTCTCTTTGTACTGTTATGAGGGACTGAACCAGAACCCAAGCCTGACAGCCAGCTGAATTACAGCACAGTAAGAAGCTAGTTTTGCTCATCTGGCATTGCTCTAGGATCCTGAGGTACCAGGACTGTTAAGGAAATCATGAGTATAACACATCTAAAACTTTTTAAGTCACAAATTCCTTTCTTCACAAGTTCAGCACTTCCGTGCATTCAGCTAAGTCTTAGAAGGGCCAAGCAAATGTGTAATCAACCAAGTTTATTTTAGAATCAGCCACTCAGTAAGCAGCTCAACTGGGCAAATTGGGCAACAGCCATTGAAGAAATTAATTCATAGCATTCTTTTCTTAAATTATGCTCTGACTCTCTTTTGCTGAGCATTGACCTATTAAATCTTGCAACAAATTAAAAGTCAATCAATACACCCCTACAATTCTTTAGCTCTTTATTCTTCAAGAGCATTAGTTAAAACTTACCTCAATAACGTCTGAGAAAAGTATTTCAGAGTATTTGCAATGTCAGTTCCAGAGGGCACAGGGTAAATGTTGTGGAGGACCCGGTTGTGGTATTCCTGAAGGTATCGAATTTTGGAAGCAACTACATAAAAGACAAAAAACAAACACAGAAACTTTCATTTAGTCTTTTTGCTGACTGACAGAATCTCATCTGTTCCTACTACAGTTGATTTTCCTTTTTTTTTTTTTTTAATTTAAGGATTAAACTGTGAAAACCAGAAAAGTCTCCCCCTGGTCCTTCTGTTTTGACTGAATAAATTGAACACGCTAATGCAAGTGTGCCAAGGGGAAAGCATGGAAGTGAATGCCTGCATCTGTATTAGTGATAGAAATTTTAAATAAAAAATAAAAAATAAAAAAAGGTAAACAACAAAAAAATGCACTTCTTCCATCTCAAGATTCATTTACAATGAATGAGTCATTGGATCACAGAAGGTTCATGTGAGACAGATAAATATTTCTACAGCCAAAGCAGGGACATATGCTGAGACAGAGAGAGCTTATGTGATTTACTTCAGGCCATGCATTTACTTTTTGCGATTAACTAAGGTTATTAAAAGATCTGTGCTGTTTATTTTAGTTTCTTAGGAAGTCTGATCAAGCAGGTGAGGGGATTCCAAAGAGCAGTAGGAGCTCTACACCTTTACTAAAACTATTTTGTGCTGTTTTAAAAATAATAGTGGGCTTACTTTCTAATAGAGATCATTGTTCACTACAAGACAAAAGGGACTACCCACCATAGCTGCAATGCCTTAGATTGTCTACATGGCTCAACACAGTCTTACACAGAGACATCTTAGCACAGTCACCTCTTTTTTTTGCTCTACTCAGACTAATCTGTTGAGAAACAGAGTGTACTGGCTGTGGCAGAGACTGCACCAGCTCAGCAGCTGCTCATAGCATCACCCTGTTCAGACACAGCCCCAGTGAAAGCAGAGAACCTAATTATACTAAAAGTACACCAAGACTGTTTAATAGGCAGTTAAAAGGCGACATATTTCCAAATTACTCTGGTCCTTGAGCATATGGATTATGAGTCCTTCCCTACACCAAGATATATCCTTCTTCCCCTACAGGGCTCCTTCAGTGTGATAGATAAATTGTGCTTCCTAAATGAGCCATTAGTCAATACTTTGTTTTATTCTCATTGCCAAATAGCATTCATTAAAGAAGGAATATCATTAAGCCCTCTGCTGAACAGAAGGGCACTAACTTCCTGAGAGACACGGCTATGCCCCTCCTGCTGCTGTACCTCAACATCTCATGAGCATTCCGATTCATTTCTGCACCACTGACAGTTAAATGAGAAGGGGTGACATTATATGCATATCACAGAAAAAGACTGAAGGACAGACACCAAGAGTGAAGTGTCTGCTACTGCTGTTGGAGGCTCAACTCAAGACACTGAGGGCCATTTTCCCAGTATAGATAGCAGCATGTACTGAACTTTCACATCCAGGAAACAAAAGCATCTGCGAGTGCTCACTCACAAAACAAACAAGGTTTGACAATTTCAAGTCAGTAACCCATACAGTGAGGAAGATTTAAATAATCACCAAATGAAGAATAAAGTCTGCTTGAACTGCTTGACAACAAACTGTCTTCCAGCACCCAACTGCCCTCATCATGATCATCCTTTCTCCTGTTTCCAAGTGTACCTCCTGTCCCCCCCCCAGTTTCTGTCACAAGTGAAGCTTCTACAGACAAAAGTCTCCCTCACAGTATCATCCTGCTTCATGACAGAGACAAAGCACACTGTGCGACTGTATAGATAGGCTGGGATCTATGGGAAAACAGCAAGTAAAAATGCAATTAGAGAGATTGTCATAATGCATATGCAAAAGGAATAAACGATGCATAAGCAACTTGTATTTCCTCACTTTTAAGTGTTTCACTTTACAAATCTATTTTAAGGTGACCTTAATGGATAATTAAAATCAATCACTATTCCCCACCCCCCCAAACAACTGAAAATAGAAGTTTTTTCACAGGGACTCAGATCACCTCAGTATAGCTAGGAGCAGGATCAGAGCCTTTCAGGACACCACATGAGCCTGTGGTGCATAAACAGCACTGTGGCAGGAGGTTATCCCTGTCTCTGTGAGACCAGCTACAGCTAGCGTAGACACCCCCAGAACCAGTGGGGTAGTAACACTGGCTCATGATGTGTTTCACTCCACATTACGAAAGTTTATTTGAGTAGTCCAAGACCTGCTTTCCCCTCCTTATCCCACGTCTCATTCATTCTGCCCCGTTTCTCAGTTTTAGATCCTGATTTGCAGGTCAATTTACCAGATTGATAGACACTTCTTTTAATTGTCATGAAGACCCCTAAAAAAACTGATCTAGATTAGGTTAGATTAAGAAAGGATTTACTTCATAAATGTATTTTGTGCTATTTTCTCTTGCTAGGGAAAAAAAGATGTATGAACCCAGGCATATTTGCAAAGAAAACAGACCACAATGTCACAGTCCCTGACAAAGAACAACTCATAGCAAAATGCATAGTTTACTGTGGCTACCATGGGTTGCTGTCAGATATCCATAAATGAACTGGATTAACAAAATGCAAGAAATGATTTCAGAATTCAGTTCTAGATGTATTTCAGAGAACTATCTGCCTTTCTACAGGTACTTAGTTTCAAGAATGTATATACAGTATCTAGAATCTTTTTTTTTTAATAAAGAGGCAAATGTATTTATTTCTATTAATCAGCATTAACAGGCAATTGTATCAGACAAAATACCAAAATCCAAGAAAATTTATTTATAATGCCTACATATTAACATTAGCTTTAGGCTAAAGGTTTTAACCTCACCTCTCAGTTCTGTTTCCCAGAACACTTAGAATTTCAGCACAGCCTCCCAAAACCTTCTGAAGAAAAGCCCCAGAGCAAAACTTTGCCAACTTTCAAGATACATAAATGTGTGAATGATCCAATATTCTGAGCACCCAGAGGTACACTTCAAAAACACATGTCCCTCCATGGAAGTACTTAGCCATTGTCATAGGGTCATCATATTAAAAAAATAATATAGTAGAAGATGAGAAAAAAGTTATTCCAGGATACTTTGCTGGGTTATCTCTCTAGGATCTACACGAATCTAACTAAACTCACTAGCCCCTTGTAAAAATCTAGAGTTGAAACCATTAGGAGTCTTTAAAGATGGTCTTGGCTGTCCCACCATCCTGAAGAACAGAGTGGGCACTAGGCATTCCCAGGACATTACTTACCACAACTAAACATCACTTACTGCTATTTAAGGTGAAAAAGAACTAGTTTTCTTTGACTACAATAGAACACCGCAGGCACGACATGATGAGTTAAATGATGTCACCATCAATACTGCTGGTATGGGATACAAGATGCATGGGGTCACAAAAAAGGGAGGCTTCGAGACAACTTCCCAGACTGCCACAATTTTACCTGTTGTTCATACAACCTGCCAAAGAGCTGTGGGGTGGCCAAAGATTCACGTTTAGACCAGCACCTCTTCTGTCCTGATCAGTCTGTTTCCTCATTCGTAGTGTTTTGCTGCTGCTCTTGGTAAACTGAGATTCATTATGACTTGTGACTTGTCTTCTTCCCAAAACATTCTGGTTCTTGCCTGTCAGTCAATGAGGGCAGAAGCAACAACAGCAACAGCTGGGATTTGAAGGTTTGCCTGGTAGTGATGTATGCATATCAACATAATCTGTGTAGGAATCCATCACCATTTGTAAAGAATTGCAGGTAAGGCAATCTTGAAGTTATGTAGAGACAAAGACATTTGGCAATGATGTAAGAATCAGACAGGGGAACAGCCTTGGTAAACAAAATGCATTCAGTAAGTTATAACACACAGGATATGTCCATTAACCAAATACTCTACCTGGAGCATCATGAAAAGGAACATTAGGAGTTTGAAAGATCTGGAACCCAGACCCCAAATAAGTCTTAAAATAGAGAGCAGCGGGGACACAGTAGGCCAAGCTGCACTGTCTTGAACAGTACAAGGGGATGAAAAGAAAAAACAGCCAAAGATAAAATATGAAAGAGAAGCTCCAACGGAGCAGACCAAAAACATTGGGAATGGAGGAAAAGAGAAGGCAGAATAGAAAAGAAAGAAAATACCAAAAGCAGTGTTGGGACAAAAGGTGTCAGAAATTCTTCCACATGCTAGTGTCAAAGAGGCATAATTAATGTATAAATATCACAAGAAGGAAGAAATAATTACAGAACTCAGGAGGGGGGTGAGGAAGGCAGAAAGAACAGAACAGTACATATCCGAACACCACGTACTTCAGAGCTGCTGCACAGTCAGAACATTGTGTCTCTATTTATGAGGCCAGAAATGTATCCCTACAGCAATAAATTAGCATCCACATAATATTTTAATAGCAACATCATTCATCCTGTAAATAAGCAGTAAACCCTAAAGGAAAAAAAAGGAAAGTATCCTTTTCCTTAGATCAGTTCAGCACAGGCATATATAAATACAAGGATCCTTCCCAGTGACCTGGAGGAAGGAGACAGCAAGTCACAGCATGCAAGGTGTCAGATCGTATTATGTCACTGTGACAAAGATCAATCCAACCTACTGGTCACAGACTGCCTGGCTAACAACCATGACGCTGTATCGGGAGAGAAAGTGTCTGATAGAGGTGACAAGCTTGACCACCCTAGTATTTTTCTTTAAGCCTCCCACCAGGCGTCTTGCAGACACACCAGTTGTAGACAGCAGCAGCCACAGTGGGGAGCACTTGCATGGCCCAGCTGGTGACATTCCAACCACCATGTCATCTGCTTTCGCTGGGATCAGATCTAGCCATCATAGTGGTGAAACATCCGTGGCTGTGAGGCGGCCTGCTAGGCCCCGGGGAGGGCCTGTCAGCACCAGGGGCGGGCTCCTGCTGCGAGGCTCTGGGGGCTATGGCAGGCAGTGTGCCAGTGAGACAGTAACACCCTGCCTACACTCACCCAAAAGGTGAACAGCGCAGCAAGAATGACAACACACCTGACAGCACATCTCCCTTCTCCCTATCTCACAGCAAGACCGCCTGCAAGATGACAATGGATAGGTCATCTCCAGTCTCTCGCGGGACTACATCCTTTGGGACATGGCACAGCACCAGCTGAGAAGGCAGGCTGGAGGGTTGCCGCCGTGGGGTGGAGGGCCAAGCCGGCAGCCTCACCCCCCGATCCCTCATTTCTACCCTCAGGTCCCCGGAGCTGCTCCTGCACCAACACGAGGTCCGCCCTGAAGGGCCGCACGGGCAGCGGCCGGAGGGCGAGATGCTCCACGGGCGGGTGGCTCCACGGGCCGGCGCCACCAAGCCCTCAGCGGCGGCAGAGGCAGAAAGAGCCAGAACGGAGGCAGCCCACCCTACCCTTGCACTCGCTGCTCCGCTGCCGCCACATCAGGCGGGATGAGACCGGGCAGCGCTGCACCGCCGGGGTGACCGACAGCCAGTCAGCGCCATCGGCGGGAGGCAACCACGGCCGGCCGACCCCCTCTCCCCTCGGACAGGCCCCTGCCCTTGCCGCGCTCCCGGCCCCATCACTCACACTGCTCCGCCTTAGTGGACATGCTGCCGCCCCGCTCTGCCCCTCTGGCGCCGAGGAGCGCCTGCCCACGGCCGCGGTGATGATAGCGGCGGTGATGAGACAGCGGCGGTGATGATAGCGGCGGCGAGCGCGCCGACTCCTCCGCGCTGCCGCTACCGCAGGGCTGCGGGCCGGGAGCGCCAGGCGGGCGCGGCTGGGAGGGAGCGTGCTCTTAAAGGGAAAGCGCGTCTGGAGGTTGGGGCTGGCTGCTGCTGGGGATGCTCGGCGGGGGATGGGGCGGCCTGACCGCGCCGGAGCGCCGAACTCGCCGCAGCGCGGAGCAGGGAGCTGCAGGCCGGGAGATCCTGAGGAGCCTCTCAGAGCCCCGCTAGTGCCCCCGGGGCTTTGCGGGTGGTCTGGGCTGCTGAGGGGACTGTGGAGCGCAGGTCCCGGCCCGACGCCCAGCTCTGCATAGAGCCGCAAGAGGTGGAGCGCTGGGCTGGTCCGGGATGGGGGGGGATAATTGACAGGGGAATTCCGTGGGACCGTGGGTCTGTGTACTCCGTTTATTCTTTGTTTGAAATAGGAATGCATTCCATTGGGTACTCCTGCCCTCGATCCCCTGGGCTCCAGCTGTGTACCTCTGGAGAGCCTGAAATCAGGAGCCCCTGCTTGGGTTTGCCCACTTGTTTCCACAGTATCCCAAGAAGCTATTTTGGGACTGTTCTGCCTTCTCCGAGGAGGCAGGGCTGAGATCAGCCCCAACTGTGCCTCCTGTCCATCACTAAATCCCAGCTATTGTAACTGCCACAGGTACCATCAGTGTGGGACAAAGGTGGGGTGTAAAGACCCGTTGTGGTGGTGTACTGGGTTCAGCAGTAGCAGTCATGTTTCTCCTTCTTGGTAGCTGGTGTAGTGCAGTGTTTTGACTTTCAGCTCGGGAACAGAGCTGATAACGATGTTTTGGTTTGGCCAAGGACTTTGTGAGCCTCATGCTCTGCCAGGGAGGAGGGGAAGCCAGGAGGAAGCAGAGACAGGACACCTGACCCAAACTGACCAAAGAGGTATTCCATACCACAGCACGTCATGCCCAGGAGGTAACTGGGAGTTAGCCGGGAGGGCTGGCAGACTGCCGGGCTGGAGGAGGTATCGGTCGGAGCTTGGTCGGGCTTGGGGGGGCGAGTTATCGGTCAGCTGGTGCTGAGGTGTTGTATTCTCTCCCTTGTTATTTCCTTTATCATTATTATCACTGGTGGTAGCAGTAGTGATTTGTGTTATACCTTAGTTACTAAACTGTTCTTATCTCAACCCGTGGGAGTTGCATTCTTTTCGATTCTCCTCTCCGTCCCTCCGAGAGCAGGGGGAGGGCAAGAAAGGGGGGGGGAAGTGAGCAAACGAGTTACCTGACTGGGTTTAAACCACGACAGGTGGGAATACAGTAATAGCAACATAATTCATTTGCTCCAAGAGAAATGATTTCACCAGTGTGCGTCTTGTCAGCTTCCACAGTATCTGGACTTGACGTTGCCAGATCTCAGAAATGAACAGCTAGCTATGAGTTTCTTCTCTGAAAAACAGTTTTTCACATCCTCACACCTCTGAGAAATAGCAATATTTCACCAGCCAGGGCATATGAGCCAGATGTTTATAGATAAAAAGTCAGTTGCAACAGACTTTCCTCAAAACACTGGGCTACTACATAAGATGAGCAGGCCTGTGGCAGCCAGAGAACTGTGTTGCAAAGGTGGAGGAAAATAGATACATTTTATTACTCAACATGCAAGGCAAAGCCTCCAAATTACTGCTGCCCTGATCTGGGGATGATGCACGTTCTGTGCCAGGAACAAAAAAAAAAAAAAAAAAAGAGGCTGTTGCTGTTTGCTGGCATTTAGCAGGCTGGGTTTTTTCTCATAAAAGATTGCTTGGTGCATTGCCTGTGCAATGTTTTTTCAACACCACTTAATTAGGTCAAAAATTGAACTCTTTTTGCATTTTCTTGAGGCCATAGTTCTTTCCACACTCCCGGCTGCTTGTGAGCCCAAAAGAGAAAGTGGAGCCAACTTAAACCACCACCACTGGCTTGTGTGAACAAGCTGCAACAGCTATAGTGAGACTAATCCACAACTAAAGGCATGAGTTAAATGTGAAAAGAGTCACCTCCATTTTCCTGAGCAGTACTTCACGAAAGCAAATACACTGGCCCATTCCCATATGTCGTTTGGTCCTTCTTCCTGTTGAGCTTGCTGCAAGATCACGTAGGTTGCTACCTAAACATTTTTTCTCTTTCACTGATACAGAGGGTTGACCATTGTACAGGGAGGTAGTACAGGGGGGTTGTACAAGGGGGTTGTACAGGGGGTTGTACAGGGGGGTTAGAGGAATTTGTTTAAACAAAAGGACTATCTGTTGTAAATGCCTGCTAAGCAGAACAGAGACCTCCGGTCCTGTTAATAAGCAGACGCCTGAATCTACTGATAAAGGGGAGAAGCAGAGGATTTACGGCTGGGACACTGATCAAACTCTACTGATAAAGGGGAGAAGTAGAGGATTTACGGCCGGGACACTGACCAAACTCTAAGGCCACACGTAAAGACTAAAAAAAGGTGAAAAGTGCAAGAAGAGGAAGACTCATTTACTTCATCTTGAAGACCCTTACCCAGAGGAGGAAGACTCATTTACTTCATCTTGAGACCCCTGCCCATGACCAGAGGGGGCACTGCGCAGGCGCAGAGAACCTTCTGGCTCATTATAATACGAAGCGGGGATAGGACATGAATATGTATAGGCGTGTTATGCAACCTTATGAATATATATAACTTTAGAGAATAAATGTAGAGGGAAACAACACTGAGGTACGCATGACTTTGAGGAATTATCCCCGTGCATCTCAGCGCTGAATAAAAAGCATACCTACTTTACAACTTTTAACGAGTTGTGGAGTCAATCCGCGCATCATCACATTTAAACCTGTAAGAGTAAACATTTATATTTGTCCTTTTGTTAGAAACTGACACATTAGATCAGATTCTGCTGAAGGGAATGAGAAGTTTTCTATTTATTTTTATTTAATGATATGTCCAGGGAGGTCATGTGGTGCTATAAGCCCTGCTTATGCAACCCTAGCTCTCATACCATAGAATGTAAGTGCTAAAAATACAGACAAATGGCTTTCAGACTTTATTGAAATAGGCTCTTGAAGGCAGGTTTCAACTTCAGCTTCAGTTTCTGTTGATGCCTGTTGATGCAATAGATCAGTTGTCTGAACTGCTTTGTTGCTCATTACAAACCAATAGGGAACTCTCTGCACTGACAGGAACTGAGCTCCCATGGGTATCCCTTAAAATGCACCAAGTGTTCACATACCAGTGGTGAGCCTACTGAAAATACTCAGGTTGATGAAGCAGGAACACACTGAGAAAATATGAATTCCATTTCTCACGTAAAATTTCTTCTTTGGTTTAAGTGCCTGAAAATTGTAGCTATGCCTGCATTTACTGAACAAAGTCCTACACAGTTCAGCATGTAATTCAGGTATATGGAACACAGTTTATTGCTCACAAGTCCCCCACATGCCTAAAAAATGCCTAAGCCCCAAATAAATCCTGATACAAGTAATCTGTTATTTGGTCAAACAATATGATAATTTTTAATACAAGCATAGGGTCTCATGCTTTAAATTATGAACAAATGTCATAAAAGAGCAAATGCAGGAACATGGCACTCTGGGAATTACTTTCTCAAGTCTCTGTGCTGAATAGAGCCACCATTTCTCACCAAGATCCTAACAAAATGGTACAGTGCTCCACTGGAAACATTTTTTGAGCAGCTAAGATTTATGCCCATATGTTTTTTACCTCTTCATGCACTCAGTTAAGAGAACACATAAAAGCTGCAGGCATTTGAAAGCTCACTAGTCATTATGCAAGAACATTTTACCTATAAATGAATAGGGAATGGATACATACCAACTGATGAAAAATAAATAGAAGAAATGGTACTTTTCTGCATTCATGAGTGGAAATTTCACAAAATCATAGAATCACTGAGGCTGGAAGGAACTTCTAGAGCTTGT